AGAAACATTTATTTCTCATGGTTCTGGAGAAATATGAAGATCAAGTCCAACATCAAGGCGCAGCAGAGACAGTGTCTTTTCGGGGCCCGTTCCTCATAGGTGACACCTTCTTTCTGTGTCCTCACTCGGTGCACGGGGTACGGCAGCTCTCTGCAGCCTCTTCTGTGAGGGCACTAATCCATCTAATCCACATCATGGGGTGGGCTAAGGCCCCACCTCTTACTTGTCTCACATGGGTACTAGGTCTCAGCATAAGAATTTGAGTGGGATACAAACATTCAGACCATAGCAATTAGTTAATTTTTATTGTCTAATTTAACAATATCTCATTTAAGAGATCTTACTCTAACCTCTGAGAATGTCAGAGATATTCCCTTATATTATTCTTTAAATGTTTTATTTTATAGCTTTGATTTGGGTACTTGAGTATGTAATGCACCTGGAATAAATTTTTGTATGTAATATGAGTTACGGATTCTATTTCATATTTTTCCATATGAAAAATTATTCTGGTATCATTTTTTTAAAAATCTTTCCTTTTTAAAGCTTCCTTAATCTTATTTTCTCCGGAAGCATCTTTATGTCACCTTTGTTCTTGAAAAACGCTATTCTAGACTGATAGATATTGTTTTTCTTAGCCACAGATACTGTTCCATAGTACTCAAGCTTCCATTGGTGCTATTAAGAACTCAGCTATTCGTTTAATTTTGCCTTTAAAATCTTTTTTTCGTTATTCTGCATTTCCAGTATAACACATCTAACTTTGGATTTCTTTATATTTACTCTGCTTGGGATTCCTTTAGCTTCCTGCCCCTAAGAATTAGTGTCTTTCAGTAATTTGAGAAAATTCTCTGCTGTTCTTTCTCAAATATTGTTTCCAGTCCATTATTTTTTATCACCTCCTTCTGCCAACTGTGACTAGATCAATACCGGTCTTTCTTGCTCTTTCATGTCTTCTCACCTCGGTTTCACTCCCCCCGCCCATGTCTTTAGCATCTGTGTTACATTCTGGATAATTTCTTCATATTTAATCTTCTGGGGTTTTTTTGAGACAGAGTCTCACTCTGTCGCCCATGCTCAAGTGCCGTGGCGTCAGCCCAGCTCACAGCAACCTCAGACTCCTGGGCTACAGGCACGTGCCATCACGCCTGGCTGATTTTTTCTATTTATAGTAGAAACGGGGTCTCGCTGTTTCTCAGGGTGGTCTCGAACTCCTAAACTCAAGCGATCCTCCCACCTCAGCCTCCCAGAGAGCTAGGATTGCAGGCGTGAGCCACCGCGCCCGGCCTAGTCTTAATTTTTTTGAGGCCAGTTTTTAGAGTTGTTGCTCTCCACTTGTAAATTCTTACCTCCTTGTGGTTTTTTTTTTTTTTTTTTTTTGAGTTCATATTTCTTGAAACTTTATGGTAATTCTTTGGGTTACAGTGGTATATTAGACAAGGTTCTCCAGAAAAATAGAAACAATGTGATAGAGGTGTGTATTAGGTGTATTTTTAACATTTTAAGGAATTAGTCCATGTAATTGCGGGAGCTGGCAAGTCTGAAATCTGCAGGACTGGCCAGCAGGCTGGGAATTCTGGCAGTTGATGTTGCAGTCTTGAGTTCGAAGGCAGCCTTGAGACAGAATTTCCAGAATTCTGTATTATTTTGCTAAGCCTGCCTTAAAAAATACCATAGACTGGGGCTTAAACAACATAAATTTATTGTCTCAAAGTGCTGAAGGCTAGAAGTCCAAAGTCGAGTGTCTACAGGGTTGGTTCCTTCCGAGAGCTGTGAAGGGAAGATCTGTTCCAGGCTTCTCCGTGTTTTGTAGATGCGTGTCTTCCTGTGCACATGGCGTTTTCCCTGTATCCTCACGCCCTCTTCCCTGTAGGCATATCTTGGTGAGATTCAGGTTTCCCCTTTCCTAAGGGCGCTAGTCACATTGGACAGGTGGATACCTTCACAGTGGATTTGCCCCCATTTCTGCCCAGTACCTCAGGGTGGTGCCAACCTGACAGCGCGTTAATCTCTGTTCAACTCTGCTCTCTTTTTATGGTAGCTTTTGTGATTATTTAACTTGCTCGTATTATGATGTGTACGTTTTAAGGGAGTGTATCTTGATAAGGTATAATTTAT